ATTAAATGTTCATTGCAGTGCAGTTAAAAGCAGAGAGACTATAGTTCAAGATGAGAGACATAGTTCACAAACTGTCACTTTTAGGTGTGTGTTTGTGTACACACAAAAGAGCCTTCTTTGGTTGAAGACTGGGATAAAAATGCAATAATTAAATATATTCTTCTAAAATTAGTCTAATCTTACTGAAGAGAAGCTTTAAACCCAATACTCCAGTTTGTGGCTCTGAAATCCTAACAACTCCTCCTAGGTATTAAATGTAAGCATTATCATATCCATTTGATAGAAGACATCTAGCAAACAATGTTCAGGTCTTGCATTTGCATCAGCAATGAGTTGCTGTGTGGTTTTCCTTAAAACTGGGTGTGCATGTGAAACCAGGGCAGGCCTGACCATGAGTATTTTCTCCCATTCAGCTAGGAGACAGAAAAAGTTCTGAGCCTTAGGAATGGAAGCTTAACCTGGTTCCTGCTGCTGGGGAGCTTAACATAGTTTTTGTTTCTTGTCACACTAAAATGTGACCAAATATTCAGAGAACAAGATGGTGCTTTAGCAAAGTTACATCCTGATGTGCAGTTATTTGCAAGTCTTATTAGTTAATCCAGAACAACAGTGCCTTGAGTCAGGCAAAGAGCCAAGTGCTATTCACTGGCCAGAGTCACTTAGGCTGCAGCCCAGTCGGTTCTGCCTCAGATGCATGTGGCCCTCCCAGCTGGGAGCCTCGCATGCTTCCAGCGTAAGTAGTGAGGCGTAGCAGCAGCGATCGCCACCACCTATCTAGAAGCCAGTTTGAGCTGTCCAGACAAAGTGCTGGGAGGTGGGGAAAGGGAGGCTGGGGGGGGGGCAGTAGGACATGGCATAAGCCTTCTGCTGTAGCCTTCTCCCCTCCCTGCCTCCAGCTCCTCAAACAGAGGATGCCTTCAAACAGAGGACAGTCCTCTATAAAAGACACAAGGTAGGAAGCAGCTCTGGTTGACGCAGTACACCAATGGCAAAAAACCTTTGCCATTTACTTCTCAGGTCTGGTCTAGACATATAACTAAATGAGGTGCTAGAGTCCTCGCCTAGTAGAAAGAGCTACAACACTTCCCTCTACAGATGGAAGGTAATGTTTCCAGTGCTCCAACATGTAAGAAGCTTGCAAACCTCTCCTTATTTATTTATTTAGACAACTTATATGCCTTACAAATGGAAGAAAAGAAATATATCAGGCAGGCATGTTTTGCACAAGGAACTATGAAGAAATACGATTCATTGCAGTGCATTCTGACACCTCGTTCTATGATAAATGCGGAATGGGCCTCAGTCAAGATTTGGCTGCAAAGCCTGAGCTGTGAGAAATGATTATGGATTGTGCTGACCAGCCAGCAAATACACATATAATGAGACAGACCCTAATACAGGAATGCTGCTGCATATATGCCCCATGATTTACTTATTGTAACTAACTTCTCTCATTGATTTCCATGGAATTTGACGGTGAGTGACTTAACTTTTTCTGGGCTGCAATTTAAAGAAGAAATGTTGAGTGGACAAAATAAGAAGACAGTTTTAGATAGACAGAAAAGGACATGACAGGAACTATTCATGTTTATTTCTTTCAATAATGAAAACAGAAACATTCATTTTATAGCAGCACTGAATGTTGCAGGTGAAATCTGTAGACATGTTTCAAGATGGTGGGGGAAGATCAACGCTGTAACTCTCCTAGGAATTCTTGAGCTGCATTAAATTAGCAATAAGCCATCTTAACATAATGAAAACAGTGTTTGTATTCCAGAATTGGACACTTGCAAAAAGGGCTATAATAAGCTCAAGTAACTGTGCCATCCTATGCATGTTTACTTAGAAGTCCTACTGTCTTTGGTGGGAAGTATCTCGAAGCAAGTGGGCATTGGATTGCTGCATAAGAAATTCAGGACTACAGTGAACTGCTGTGCAGGAACTGCTGCTGACTCCCACAAAGTGTGGAGTAATTGTATTTAAGGCAAATTCTGGCCTCGTTCACACAGTCACCAAACTGGTTATCTTCTGTGCCAGACATTTGTGGAATCTGCTTTGTTTTACTGGAAGGCGGAGGTCCACTGACCAGTCCCACCAGTGCCACAGAGCTTGAGGATGGACACAGAGGAACAGTGGTGATTCGGAGGGTGGAACTATGGACCTGCTGTTATCTCATGAGTCCAGTGCTGGAACCCTTCTGAAAATTTAGGACTCTGCCCTAAATTTGGTCCCCAGTGTCTCCAGGTAGGACTGGGAGGATCTTTCCTGCTTGAACCTCAGGAAAGCCATTGCTGCTGGTTACTGTCAGCAGACCTGGGCTGGATGGACCTATGGTCTGGTTCAGTATAAAGCAGTTTCTCTGTACCTATGGGTCTAATAGCCTAATTAAAAGAGGGGAAAGCTCTTCTGTCGTCATGATTGTTAAACAACTGGGAATTCAACACACTTGCCAATGCACACCACTCATCCAGCAAACTACTAGTAGATCCCTTTCACTGCCTCTTGCCAGCCCAAAATGGGCCATTAGGATTGGCTGCACAATCCTCTGGACATGCACACTGTTTTCCCCAAGTTCCTTGTCGTACAAAAAGGGAGGATTTTATGGGACTGGCTGCATGAAACTATAAGGAAAGCAGAGAGAGGCGCACACACAAATTCATTGATTCACCCAGGCAGACCACCTCCACTTCATTGCTTTCCTGGCTGGATGGGACTCCTCTTGCAGAGATCTATTTCAAATTGGAACTTTGTGGCTTTTTGGCTGACAAATAATAGACCTGTGTATTCTCGTCTTCTGAAGACATCAACAGCCTTTGAAACCTTTACATCCCAGTGTGGAAAATGTTCTTGCTTGAGCCAAATGATCTGGTGCAGCTTGAAAGAGATCAGATCCATATGGCCTAGAGCATTTTGAGATGTATTTGACTTGCAGTTTAGATCTGCACTAACCAGACTGGATTATAATTAATTATCTCTTACTGAATTGCTTTCCTTGCTCAGAGTCTGCTTGCCACCAAAGTTATATCAAACAAGGCAATTGATTTGATATAATCAATTTGAGACTGCCCTGTGTGCAGTGAGCAAAGGTTGCCCTGCAAACCTCCATCATACCATAAAACGGAGAATCCAGGAAGCCTTCTCCCATCTGATGCCTCCCAGCTGTGCAGGACTACACTTCTCATCGTCCCCAGTCAGCATGGCCATTGGCCACTATGCCTAAGGATATTGCAAACTGCTGTCCAACACATCTGAAGGTTCAGGGTCAGGGGACTGTCAAAAGGGTTGCCTCACTTTCAATAGAAAAGGGAATCACAAAACTTGTTTCCATGTTTATTTAAGCATACAGTTAGTTTAGCTTTCTCATACCAGTTTATAACTGGACCTAAATTCTGCAGAAATAGCTGGGAGACCAAAAAAACAAACAAACAAACAAACGACTCAGTTGTATTTAATATAGTTTCTTCATTTTGAGGCAGAAAAGTGAACATGGTTGACTGCAAAAGTTAATGGGAGAAATGTGCAGCCTTTACAGTTATTCCCAGTTTCTTTAATTTTAGAAGAATAATACAGAATGAAGAAGCAAGGGTGTTTTTTCCATTTAGGAAAAGTTGATTGCCAATATAAGTAAAAATATCTTTCAGTACAGTTAGGTTGCGTTCTAGAAATATTAAAATCATAAGTATTGTGAAATGAAATTTTGACATGCGGATGAAATTAGAATCCCTTTATTTAATAAAAAAGCATGGGAATCTATTATGAGATCTATTTCAAAATCTGCCAGTTGGCATCTCTGGCTGGATACCAGATTTTAACACTCATCACAGAACAGTTCCAATCAGTGCATTCTGGGCTTCTCTACACAAGGAGCATATTGCATATTCGTGATCCTTCCCTCATGGAAATGGGAAGATCCTTTGCATGGCATCCTCTTCCTCCAGGGCCTCTTCCACATTTGAAGCCATTTTTGTGGCTCTTAGGGACAATGAGGTATTCACTTTTAAAGGCACAACCAATTGAAATAAAGGCTTGTGTAATTCAGTAAGTGCATTATACTGCAGCACCTGTGTGGTTGTAAAAGACAACGTAAGGCACAGAAAGCAAAACCCTAGAAATCATCCCTGTGTAAATGACACTCTCCTTCTCCCACAAAAGAAAGCAGAAGAAACCTCAATGAAATGGTGGTTTCAATGCCTTATGCAGAGAAGTCCATGGTCAAAAGAGAATGCCTATCGGGTATAGAGCCTTAGGCCTAGGGACCCAACTGAGCCCTGTGGAAATCCTCAAAATACTCCCCTTCCCCCAAGCACAAATTCTTTGGTGGTTTCCCTGCATTCGTGTGGGTTTCCTTCCATTCTGAAAGGCTAAAATGCCTCTCCAAAGGCTTACGTTGGTATTTTTGGTCCTGCTTCTTTTGCCTTTAGCTCTGGAGGCAACCCTGTTTCACCACTGGAATGCGGCCCCAAGAACTTCTCTGAAATGGAATTTGGCCTTGGGGCTGAAGGAGGTTCAGCACCTGACATCTCTTCTTGACTACACTTAGACCCTGTTCTTCCATGCACACCCGCTTACATGCAGTTCCTTGGTGGTTTCCCATCCAGGAACTGATCGGGCCATTAGCTTAACTTAGAGCAATGCTGTAATCTTGGGTCCTTCCAGACCTTCCATTGGGCCTGAACTCAAGCACTCTTAATATCTGCTTGTAAAGCCAATTCCTGATTCATCTCAAACGTGGCCTCTAAAGTAAAAAAGAAGACTTTCTGAAGACAATTTACTCCTGTCCACATTTCCCCCAGATGAACATAAAAATGGACCTTTTCAAATCTTGTTTAAGGCAGAATTGAAATGCATGTCTTTTTATCCCGTTTAGCTTCAAGCATAGCACAGCGACAGCCAAGGGCCCTAAAGTCATCATGTCCCTTTTGAAGTGTAAGGTGGTGTTATCAGGAGAGGTGTATGCCAAGGAGTCATCAGGGTCTGTGCCTACGGCACCATACCTGGCATTAAACTTTAAGGTATGTGGCATGAGAGTTTGCTTGCTTTAAGGAATTGATGTGTGGGAACCGGCTTCCAAAGGAGGACAGCTTCTCACTGAGCTTTCGGTTGATCAGCTCTATGTGCCTGGTGTTCTTCCTGGCTTGCCTGAGTGACCGCTTGACTTTCTTCACTCGCTCTCGCAGCTGCTTATTGCGCTTCTCTAAGGTTGCCACCTTTTGCTGGAGCTTCTTCACGTGGTCTTCCTCATCAAACAAGGCTTTCTGCACTGAAGAGCACATGAGCTGAAATGACAGACATAGATAAATGCTAAACAAACACCATTTCAGTGCCCATACTGCGACTTCTCTATCATTCTGTTTGATTTTTTGAAACACTGTCATTTTATTGAATACCTGGACCAGAATCCAGAAAGACCTGGATTCTCATAGGTTTGATGCAGTGAAGCTTTCAAGAAACCTTACAAAGCTGTCACAGCTGGACATACTGTGCCTGTCCCTGTTTGAGTGCCTATTGGCACCCTGCTTTAGTTGTGGGCAGCTGCAGTTGTCTTCCCTTTTGTGGGCAAAGTCTACATCTTGTCTGGCTCAGCCGAGAAGATGGACAAAGGACACTCAGAACATCGACACCAATTAACAAGCAGGTGTTGGATGTCCGAGAGCCTATCAAGGCCTGCATGCCAAGCCCTGACCAGCTTATGTGCCTGCAGGAACTGCCAGCCCTCCCTGCACCCCTGCTTATCAGTAGGTTGCTTAGCTACAGCTGGACTTGCTAGGGTGGGAAACTCTAAACCTTGTTTAGACTGCAGGGCTTCATGGCATCAGCAGCAAAGAGGGTATGAGAAGGCGCTTAGCCCAACCCCAATTTGCTTGGACACTCACCTCTCAGGCAGCCTTCACTGACTGTTCCAGCTGATCGAAACCGACCTTGCAGACCAGTTCAGGCTGAGCATTGTAAGCAACTTGGTGCTAAACTCTTCTGAAAGCCAGATAACTTGTATTTGGGGCACAATAAAGAGCTAGAGTCCTTGTAAGTAAACCTGGATCTTGCATATAATTTCCTTGGAATCTCAAAGAGCCGATTCAACTCACCGCAGGGGGCTAACAAGAGGCAATACAACAGTATATCCAGGTAGTTGCCTGAGCAGGAGAACTGCCCATTTCATTACTCCCAAGTGAAGGAGGGAGAAGCTGCAGAGCTCTTCCCTCAACCCATTAGTCTTCCCTGGCTTCTGATGATACGGACTGGTTAGCAGACATATGGCTACATTAAATTAATATAGAAAAGAAAATTACCTTGGGGAACAGACTGTGTGGTTCCCATGTTATGTTTCGGGTGTCTTGGTTTTATGGCGTTGGAGGCACACAAGACACCCTTCTTTCATTCTGCCTTTCTCACTTCTACAGGAGGCTCCCAGTGGTCCCCATGCAAGTTTCTGATCAGATGCTGAGTGCATTCACTGAACCCCTGAGCTGCTGGACTGACCAAACTCCATTGGCATGAGGAAGATCACAAGAGGCTGCAGCGCACTCTCTGGGGCAGCCTTCCTAACCTGTTGCCCACCAGATGTTTGGACTTCAGCCCCTGGCAGCCCCAGCCAACAAGGCCAGTGGGTAGAAATTCCGGGGGATCATGGTGCAAAATTTCTGGGGGGCACCAGCCTGAGCAGTGCTGGTTTGATGTCATATTTGTACTGGGTAAGTAAGAAATTCTTCACAGATATTTGAAATTGCAGCTGCAAGATTGCGCCTGTGGCAGATAATGCCTTTCGAAGCATAGCATTCTGAGCACAAGTTACCAAGTTTAAAAAAGAGCTAATTATCAAACTACTAAGAAAAGTGTAGTAATAGAAATATTTAAACAAGTGCACCAACTCAGTACCAAATTAATCAAATTAGTAAAATAGCCTCTTCTTCAGCCACCTACTGTCATGACTCAGTTTGTTCTGTAGTGGTTTTGTCTATTATCACTATATAATTCATTTCTTTCTCTGTTTTTATTTTATATTTTTCACGTGCACAGGTGATAACATGTTAATTATGTTTGTTTGAAACTGAGAATCAGTGCTGAGCAATGGCTAGACTGAACATCAGGGCCACCACCGAAAGCAGCATTCCTGCATCAAATGCTCTCCTTTTACCAGCTAAGGTATGATTTTAAAAAATTGCCCTGTTTCTCAGTGCCATCAATGACAGTGTGTATCTCCTCACCCCAGCTTCCTATTCTGCATCAATGGCTATCAGGGCAGGGAGGAAGTTTTATTACATGATACAAAGGGGGAAACTCAGCACAAGAATACCATTTTCATTTTCATCCCTGTATTGCATGTATTTATAGGCAGCTTTGCATTCAGTTTGTTTGTTTGTTTGTTTAAAACATTTCTATGCCGCCCCATTCGCCGAAGCCTCAGGGCAGCTCACAACATAAAATTAAAATATAAAACATTCAAATATTCAACAAATTAACAATATAAAATAAGTCACCCTGGCCAGATAAAATAAGCAAATAATATTAACAATTAAAATGACATTTAAGTAAAAAGGTCTTCGCCTGGCGCCGAAAAACAACGACGGCGCCAGGCGGACCTCTCTGGGGAGCGCATTCCATAGATTGGGCGCCACCGCTGAGAAAGCCCTCCTCCGAGTACCTACCCTCCTAATTTCTTTCACGGAGGGTTCCCAGAGAAGGGCCTCTCCCGCAGATCTCAAGGGGCGGGCAGGCATATATGGATGTAAGCGCTCCTTCAGGTAACCAGGACTCAAGCTGTTTAGGGCTTTATAGGTCATAACCAACACCTTGAATTGGACCCGGACTTCAATGGGGAGCCAGTGAAGCTGACGGAGGACTGGAGTCATGTGAACATAATGCCCAGTCCCCGTCAGCAGCCTGGCAGCTCTGTTTTGAACCAGTTGAAGTATCCGGACCGTCTTCAAGGGTAGCCCCACGTAGAGCGCGTTACAGAAGTCAAGGATGGAAAAGCTACACAATACTAGAGCACCAAGAAAGGTGATTTCCCTAATGCTATTTCTTTCTTTTCCTTTAATCTGGAAGCAGGATGGTGACAGAAACAAAGAAGTAGCATCTCCTTGCTCTGCAGTATACAGTACAATCATCACAAAAGTAGATGCTTAGAAATGGCCTATGCCATACTCTGAGGATCATGTACAATATCTCAAAAACATAGAAACATGGGATGTGGGGCGGGGGGGGCAGCAAGTCAGAAGAGGCCTCCCGAGCCGTCTAGTGTGACCCCCGGCTCCAGCCAGCTCTGCTCATGTAATCATGTAGATGTTGTAAAGATACCTAAAATCTTTCATTCAGAGCCTGCTGGTCTGCCTATCTGAGCATCCCTCACCATTGATTTTGCTGGCTAAGCTGATGGAGTGCAGTCTGGCTACTTCAGAAGGGATCACCCAGCAGCCCACCCCAACCTTATAGTTTTCACTCGCGTTCCATTTTCCATGAGAGAACTAGGGCAGTCCCCCTATTTCAGATGTCCCATTGTGTTCTACTCAGGGGTGATCTAGGCTTCTCTGCACAGGCAGTGAAACAATATCCTAGCCATTCTGAGGTGGGATTGTTCCACTTTAGACTGCCTGTGGCAAGTTACAATTTTAATGCTCTTGTGCTTAAACAACTCCTAGTATGACAATGAACAAACAGGACCACAGTTGTTTTCCCTACTGTACTTCTTTTGTTCAAGAGAGAAGGCAATCAGAAGAGGAGCAACCTGACTCTTCCATCTTCCTTCATTCAGTTGCACCTACGGGCTCACAGGCCAGATGGTATTCTGTATTGGACCACTTCAGCTGAAAGTTTCACTCTCTGAATTCTAGCCCATGTTTTAAAATCAGCAACCAGCACCACTCTGCATGTAGTCAATGAACACACTGGGGTAAGGACTAATGCTTTTCCTGGAGAGTCCATTTGTCATTGACTGTTCATTTGTCAACCTGACTTGCAGAATTTTTTTGTAAATCTCTCACAGGAATTGTGCTTGTGTTCAGTCCTACAAATGTGGTTAGTTCTTGGTTGTTCTCTAGGATGTGATTACAATTCAATAAAACCCTGGCCAGACCAGAGTTGTTTCTGCTTTTAATCTGGTGTCCCTGATGATCACAAGTTTATGCCTCACTGGCTAGAAGATACGCTTTCATTGAAATAATGAAGGTTCACTTTCAAGTGAATGTGTCCAGGATCAGTCTGTACATTTGTCAATTGCTTTGTCACCTGAAAAAATGCTAGTGATGAGGCCAAAAAGCTACCTCATCCCAAAGAAAGCCAGGCCAAAACCACTGGAAATTTGGTTCTGGGCTAGATTTTTACCTTGCACTGGTTTTGCCCACCCTCCCTGCCAGCCAGCCCTTCCTTCCCTGTCTCCCCCCCCCCCCCCCACCACCCCATTATCATTATGCTTTCTTCTAAACTTACCTAGTAGTACAACAGAGGCAACATTAGCAATTAGTTCCTCTCTACCACCTCTCCTTTCACTAGAATGTCATTAAAGGCAGAAGCCTGGGGAAGCATGGCTTCTGAACTCAGTGAATCCATTAGCAGTCATAGCAACTTAGGATTCCCAGGTTCTTAGCATATGATGCTGCTTTTCTCACTTCTGCCAAGGTGCCCAACCGGTTGAGAAGTAGATTACTATTAGGCCTGCCACTCTGCTACCAGCATGCTCCAGTACCAGGCACACTGGGGAGTGTGGACTCTGTAAGTCCATAAGGAGTGGCGGAATCACAGAGGAGGAAGATCAGCTAACTTTTACTAACTTTTTGTGAGTGCCTGAGAAGACCTGATGGGTTGTCTCTGTGTTGACAAGGAAAATTAGCAGGAAGTGAGCATAAACCAAGAAGATCTAGGGAGAATTCACACAGCACTTGATTGGCCAGACTCTACGCAGGCCTGAGAAATCTTTGTTTTCTCACTAGGAACTTTATGTCCACCAACTGGAGAAAAGTTCAAAATGCTGGCTTGGGAAGGTGAATGTAAAATTGCAGAATGAGATGTTGCTTTCAGTACCAGAACTAGAGCCTGTACACAAATCCACTCCTGCTGCTCCCCTAAGCTTTCTTGATTTCAGCAGCCATTCCTTTCTTGTCCCAGGCTTTAGAACACCAGGCATCCTTCATCATGCATATCTTTATTGGCACTTCACAGCTAACAAGGCAATGCAATTCTAAAAGCTCCTTAGCAAACTGAAAAATGGCCTGAGTGTTGAACCCAAACTGGAAACTTTTTCCAGATACTTCCCTTTCATTCATGCTATAGGCTCCACCCTCAG